CATTCGGAGTTTTTCCTAAATATATATATATATATATATATATATATATATATATATAGACTATATATATAGAAGACTAATAGCACTTATATATATATATATAGTTTTTGCAGCTACTCAATTCATTATACAATTTAAGAAACTCTCGTTTAAAAATAAAGGCATATTCAAGCAAATTCCAAATCTGAAAACCAATAACGTGTCACTTCGATCGAAGATCGAAACCAACTTTTTTTAATGGATTATGAGAAGGTTGGGTTTTTCGATAAGTTGGGCCCATGGTAGGCCTAGCCTGTAATTCATTATCACCATCATTATCATCATCTTCCTCGTCACAGTGGCGGCGCCAGCGGGGGGACAGGGGGACTTAAGTCCCCACCGGACACCGGACAATAATTGTCATTTCCGCCGGGCCATCTAGAGGTATGTACTATTTCCTCAAATGTTCAACCTCACCCCCAAACATGGTGAGGCTGAGGTGGGTGAAGTGGACGCACGGCTGCCCCCTCCCCACCTTTCAAAACAGATCTGCGCCAATGATCATCACTTTGATATCCCTTCATCATCATCATTATTTTTTATAATCATCAACATCATCATTATAATAAACATCATTCTAACTATAAATACATAAAAGCTGAGTAAACCATCCCCATTTATTAAGCACCGCTGGCCACAGTTCAAGAGCCAGTCTCCTCCCCCTCCCCCACCCAACACCAGAGAAGCAGCAAATATTTGATAAAAAGAAAGGCTTTTTTTCAATCACTTTCACAGTAGGCCTATTTACTAAATAAATTTAAAAACTTGTAAACTTTAAGTGTTGATGGAAGTTTTTTTGATTTATGAGTCACCTTTCAATCAAATTGCTATATTTGTGAGAGTTCCTGGAAATCACTTCACACTCTTTACGTAGATTAGTTTTGTTGGATTTCTTACTTAAAATGATGCTAAACTATTTGAAACATGTGATAGCATCAAACGCCAAATAATATAATGTATGCTAATCATGACTAATAGGGCCTATATTTCGAACTGTATATGTTAAAGAATGAAGAACTAATAATACTCATCAACAGGCAGATTTAAAGGACAAGACTTCCACATTATTCTTTTTTTTTAAACAGAACAAATGGATAAAAAATATATTTTCAAACTTAAGTCTGAGAGTGCCATTTCTAAAGGTAACATTTGGCTTAGATTCGTACCTCAGACACAACCATGGTTGGCCTGAGGTTATACTCCGTGGTCATAAGTCCCACATTGGATTCCTCTATTGAATTTCTGGATCCACTAATCACGACGAAATCACAGTGGTTTGGAATGAAGACAAACAAATTAATAAAATGTTGGTCACGACGGAATCACGGTGGTTTGTAATGAAAGACGAACAAAATAGACGTTGATCGCATGGAATCACGGTGGTTTGGATTGAAGACGAACAAATTGATTACAATGGAAACACGGTGGTTTGGAATGAAGAGCAAATATAATGTTGGCCACGAGATGGAAACACGTTGGTTTTGGAATGTACACGAACAAAAGAAATATCAGCATGAAGGCGAACAAATAAAGTTTTAAAAATTTGATAAACTAAAAAAAAAAAAATGTTTTATGCAATAGTTAAATGACTTTATAAAGACACAGTACCTTTGAAAATCAAGAAACCTAAAACACATATTTCCAAAACAATTCAAAATAGCTTCATCACGTAGGCCTATATTGCTGTAATTAGAATATTACGGTTACAGTACATCCTTATGTTTTTTGCTGATTGCCACGAATATCCGCATTAACTACCAGCTAATTAAAAGATTTACTGTATGAAAAAAAATCTCGTTCGAATTTCAATTGAAATCTAATGGCTTACAAAGTAAGCAATTAAAATACTGAGTTTTATTGCTTAAGGTTCATTTAAATCAGATGAAATTAATAAAAGATAAATATGAAAGAATTGCCATGAAGTTCTTGTTTTTAATGGTGCGGAAATTACAATTTAATAACTACCGTACCTCATTATAAGAGTACATGAAAGTTCTAAATAACTCCGAAAACACGTCTTTTTATGTACAATTCAAATGAGTTTGACAAGGGTAAAGTTTTCTTTTGTAATGAGAACAAATTGCTTTGATTTCCTGACAGCAAATTTATTTATCCCCTTCCTTTAGATTCTCAATTAGAGCACACTTATCTTCCCCTTCCTACTGACTTTGAATTGCAGGCGACGTATTTTCCCCACATTATAGTATAGAATCTCACCACAAGCATAGTATGGAACGCATCAAGTTCATGTCAGAGTGAATTAAAGATACACACTCCGTGTTAAGCTATCAAACTTATTACAGTATCTCAATTGCTTACAGTACTTTCTACACCTATAATATAAAGATATAGGCCTACTGTCTATGATGATATGAATAGACACGATATACCGTAGCATGCAGTAGCGGATTTAAGGGCGGAAGGGGGCAGGCCTGGGCCCCTAAATTTGTCAGAATAATCATAAAAAAAAAATTAAAAAAAATGATATTCAAATTGAAACATGAGAGTGCCATTTCTGGCCATCTAGATGCACATAATCATAATTTTTTTTACCCAACCATGGTGGAACTGAGGTGCTATGTACCCAACTTTCTGCCCCCCACCCTCCAATTACTATAATAACCATAAAAAATAAAATGAGGAATTTGAATTGTGTATATAACTACTTGCGGAACACCACAAGGATAGATCTGAAAAAAACTTCTTTATACAGTATTTTTGTTGTCCCTCTTCAATGTTTTTTTAGTAAGAGACACTCTCAACAAAACAGCAGTTAACTACCTACGTGGTGTATTGACGCTCATTGGCGAATTTACAGCACATTGGGTCAAGAGTGTAGTGCCGCATCTAGGGGTGCACCCCTCCCCCACCCCCAAAAATAGCTCTCAACTCCCACCATTAAAAAAATCATGCTCACAATAGTTCAAAATCAACTCATATCACCTTATTTCGCGAGCTAAAACCCCTTCCCTTAAGCATCGGTCCACCACTTCACATTTGCACCTCCACCTCCACCTCACCCCCTCCCCATTTCAAGACTCCTAGATATGCCATTAAAAAAAAAAAAACGATATTTGAATATGGAAATTTCTTTTTGTATGAAGCATATTTTATTTAATGAATTTATATTGGATTTAACAGTTCATTATACCATTTATAGAAATTTATTAACTAAATCTAGATAACATATATCAGTATTGCAATTACATAAATGAAATGGCATTACATAATCCAAACAATATATTTATATAGTGCATAATGCAAACTGAATTTGCTGTACAAAATTTTTACATTCATTCAATACAAAATATTTGTGAAAGACTTAATTTAATATTCAATGGTTTAATCTAGTTTGCATTTAGAAATACACAACATATGGAAACACATAAATGTGATTAACCCATATTTGGGTATAATATGACATCACCATTGCCATATGTGCATACTACACATATCTGACACATTGATAGTATAGACAGAGATTGCCTACTGTAGACTGTTGTCAAACAGAGATACATTTGTGCATGTGGAGACATACCGACATATGGAGACACATGCCTAAATAGATACTCCTGCCTGCATATGAAGACACTATAACATATGAAGGCACATGTCCACATGGAAATACATGGCAATATGGAAAAATGAGTCCATATATGGGAACAGCCACATGTAGACTCATTTGTATACTGTATATATTTATACATTGCAATATATGCAGAAACATGTTCCTATGTCGAGACACATACTTGCATGCCAACATGACTCAGACACTTTATTATTAAAGTGTAAATAACATACAATGAAATTGATTCGGCTTAAGTGTTCAGCATATACTAATAATCAATAATAAAAGAAAAACTCAGACATAATGTACACATACAGAAGATACCAAAATAATAGAACCTCATTTACATGGTATAAAATAAACTTTGGTATAGGATTAATTATTGAAGGTGAAAACTTTAACAATGGTACTCAAATATTTCTGGCAATAGTTTAATAATAATAATAATAATAATAATAATAATAAATGATAATGATAATAATAAGAATAATGGGTTGATTTATAAGGTGCAAATAAACAAGATCTCTAAGCATCTTACTTTGGAGTAACACACATATTATTAACTTGAGCTCAAAATTATTTAATTTCTAAAATGTGTACCCTGCCTTTTTTTTTTAATGGATAATGATGAAAATGGAAGTGTGATTTTTGAATTAAAATTATGTGTAAACATTTTGTATGCTCAAGTTGATAAATTTTATGTTACTTCAATATGAGCAAGCTAATTTCAAAAATGATTTTTATGATATTTTGTATGGGACAATACATCATTAAGGTCCTAAAATTAATTCCTAAAGAAGTCAGGATTCTGAATAATATATATTCCCAGACTTAATTGCAACTCAACCATTTAATTAATGGGAATTTTTCTCAGCTTTAGTGTTTAAAATACATGTATAGAGCGCCCCCTACAGCCCCAATAATTAAAATATATGGTACAGTTCTTTTTATCTTGTACTTGACAATCGGGATAGCCAATGCCCACAGTGCACTATTTGAATACAGACAGGTCTTACGGAATGAAGGCCGCTTTAAAACTCGCTCGTAATATGCTTCTATATGAGGACGCTTGCCATTGGTGAAGAACCTCTGTTGAAGACCAATTGACGTTAAACGATGGAGAATTGTAGACAAGAAAATATCCGCGATTGAGAATGTCCTCGAGCATAGCCACGGTAACTGTTCAGATGATGGGGCTGATTCTGTGCCAAATAAAAAATTTGGTCAAAGTTATTATAAAAATAAAATTAATGTGCAGTACCGAAATATTCCATTTTTTGACCTTTGACAATTACATTTGATGCTTACCATCCCAAAACCAGCATACTGTCAGTAAATTTTGAACTGAGTAATTAGCATAAGAAGTCACAGTATTGCATACTTTAGTACAGAGAAGCCACATGACATTTACTCATAACATGGGCAATAGAAAGCCGATTCTAGTAAATAACTTATGATTCCAGTAAATGACTTATGATATGAATATTTTAAAAAATCAATTTTCTTGTTTTGGTCACAGATGCTGATTTTGGCATGAAAAGTCCCATTTGTTCAAACTCTATATATACAAACATCTTGTATATACATTCATATAT